TATAAAAAAAATTTACTGATCTAGATTTATATAATACTATTTGCTGTAAAAATTTTAAAGCTATATCTTTTCAATTTTAAAAGTTAGAGAGGGTAGAATACTTATAACTTTGACTGTAAATCATTTATTATTTTTATTTTTATTTTTTGAATTAGAATAACTGATTCAAATCAATTTAACAATTGAATCATAAAATCAAATTTATAGATAGCAAAAAATAAATAAATAGAATTTTATGATTAAATAAATAAATTATCTAATTAATATGCATTAACTGTCTTAGAAGTTTAGACTAATTAATAAGTTGTTGCTTCACAGTATTCGGATTATTCATATATTTTATGCATGCTTGACTATATATTGTTTAGAATGAAGTTGCAATTGAATATAAACTTAAGCTTTACTAAGTTTTTTTTTTGGTATTTCATCTGTAATTCTAAAATTTTAGTTTAGAATTAAAATATCTAAAATGCTGTCTTAAATATTTAGTTTCTATTTTTAAAAAAAAAGAAGCTTTTAAAAGCATCAGTATTTTTTTAATAAAAATTTATAAATAACTAAATTACTTTTCTGATCATTACAGTTTCCAAAATGTCACTTATTACTCTGATTAATCTACAAATTACTTCATATTTATTACTTATTCTATTATCAACAATTAATACAAAATTATTATTTTAGTATTAAACATATATAAATCAATTGAATTAACTTGACCATCTTATCTGTAAATAATAAACATACTTATAACTTCAATTTTCAATGCCTTTTTGAGCACTTGTTTGCATAATCCTTCTTTTAAAGAATTTATATATAAAGACAAAAATTATAAGACTTGTAAAAGCTATAGAGCTGTAAGAACTTCTAAAAAAAATGAACCAGTTGAGATAATTTCTCTACATAAAATTAGTAACCATATTATGAATGCAATCAATAACTTAGAAATCAAGCTAAGCTTTCTCTTATTTTTCATATTCAACTTAATAATGTTACACTTAGTGGAGTTAGTACATATGTTAAACTTATAGCTAAATTAATTATCAATGAAATAGAGGAAAGAAATAGCTATAATTGAATATATGTAATAAAATACATATTTATTATACTGCATTGGTTAAAAGATTATATAAAATACCTGGCATTTATGTGACAAATATTTTCTTCACCTAGTATAATGCATAAATACAATATACTCAAAATATTTCTAGATATTTTATAAGACTTTGGTCTTTTAATCAGTGCATTATAGTAGATGTAAATATGTTACCTTATTTAACTATATGCTAATAAATAATGTATTCACAATATAATACTACAACTGCAATAAATCTTTCAGCTCATCATTATGATGTTGGGAATGCTTATTTTTCATATTCCCAAAATAATGAACTTGAATGAGAATTTAAAAGGCTAGATTTATAAGAAAATTCTTCATTATAATTATAGTGGCAAAATATCAATTAAAATTAATATTTTAGCAGCTAAAGCCAAAGTAACTCTAAAATATAATCTTCAATATGATAAACCTATTGAAGTTACAACACTACATGAAATAAAAAAAGAGATTAGTAAAAATCTTTATTTGAATCATATAGAATTGTGACAACATCTTCATAAAAAGTTTAACATATCAACTATTATACCCAAACAAATCCATTATTAGTGGTCATATTATATATAGTAATTTTATAAAAATGATAATAATTATATTATTTCAGTATATATGTTTTTTGATCGACAACTTGATAATTATTATGCTTTATGCTTTCAACTTGAAACAGTTAAAATGACTGCTATTAGTTTTACAACAAGTTTATTTGAACAATCTTATTATGAAGAGGTGCACTATAATACTATCTATAAAACTTTCAGGAGACAGTTCAAACTTTATGACCTTATTGGTGATGTTAAAGATGCAGAGTTTTTTTTTTTCTTTAAATTCATTATTTTCTCTTCTTTTTTTTCTCTATATAATAAAACTTTTTTTATTGAAGGTACTGGTTTTTTACTAGTTTATTTAATCTTGAATACTACTAAATCTTTTAAAAATGAACAACAGCAAGGATTAAAAACTAAAGCACTTAACAGCTTCTTTCAATCTCTTTGTAATAAAGGTTTAAACCCAATTTACTTTTATACTAATAAAGATTTTACTGAAATAACTGCTGCAAAAAATGTATGACCCACAACTGATGTGCAGCTTTGCTTATAGCATATTGAAAAAGCCATTAAAGAAAAGCTTAAAAGTTATAAAAAGGTTGAATATATAAACTATAACTATGAAGAAGTCATAAAAGAATTTAGTTTCATTAATTCACTTTTTATACCTGATTTGCAATGAACAGATAATGAATATTATAGCATCTGCTCATCTGACCTTTATGAAACTGTTGTTGAAATAGTTAAAAACCATTTCAACACACATTCTAAAATCTCTGTTAATATTAATAAACAATTTTTGTCTCCTAATGAAATAAGGATTAAAGCTGTTTCTGAAATATATGAGTTTTGCACCACAAATAATCTTTCAATACAATGGATCTATTTATGGTTTTCTTGGTATAAGCTAACACAATAATGCCTTTGGACATGTTCTATTCAAATGACAATACCACTATATAAAACCAATAATATGATAGAGGCACACTAGAGAGTTCTAAAGCATTGTTACTTTTCTTAGCTTAACCATCTACAACTTGACTATTTAATATGAATTATCTGCATACACATTATAACTGACCAGGTTAACTGGCTTTATCAACTGTTAATCAGTAGTATAACACCTTCCTAGTTTGAGAAATTTAAAAAACAATGGAAAAATCTTCTTGCCAAACTATTTAATAATGCTAAAAACTGATATTTTATTAATTTTGAATGCTGGATTTGCAGCTGTCCATTATTCCTTTACAGCTATTTTCTTGTATATAAATATTTAATTCATAAAACATCAGAACAATCTCAGAATATTAGATTAATATATTCAAATTTTAAATGCCAATTTGATTATCCTTTTTAGTATAGAATAGAAATAAATTACAAGTATCTGAAAATATAAAAGTGTTTAGAACACATAGTTAAATTAATATTTTTGATCAACATGATACAAATGAAAATTATGAGAATATTATTGAAAAGCATCAAATACTTGAATCTAAAATATTAGCATTGCAACATTTGGTTGATTATTTTAATAAGGAACAAATTGTGAATAATTTACAACATGTAAAGGCTGTTGTTAAAAATCTAAATCATGTTTTTACTATACTTTTAAACATTGAAAAAGCAAAAAATCAGAGAACATGATCTACCACCTAGTGTGAATCAAAGTCTTGGACCATATTTTTAAGTAATAACAATATCTAACATATAAAAAAAATTTAATATTGTACTTTAATTATTTATTAATTAAAAAATAAATAAATAAATAAATAAAATTGTCACTATATCTTATATCTATTAAAGATTTTATTTTAAGTTGATTATTTAATCTATATTAAATAAAATTTAAGTATTTGTTAAAAAAAAGTAACCAACTAGATTTAACATACTCCTATTAAAAATATTTAGCCTAACCTATATAAGTATCAAAAAGAAGGCTTGAAGCCTTTGTGAGTTTATTAATAGTTTACCAATTGGTGGTAAGAGAACTAATATTCAATTAAAATAACTTTTTTGAGTATTATTTGTCTTGAGGATTTTTTTTTTGTATGATATAAGAACTATAATTAGTAATTAGTAATAAGTGAGAATTGGAAGGAATTAGTGACCAACTTACTAATTTGTTGTGAGATATAAAAATTAATAAAACATGTAATATAAGCAGATATGTATAATATAAATAGTTTCTAGTTTATAGGCAGAAGATTGTCTAATTGGCTAATAAATTTAATTTAATTTTACAGTTTAGAGTACTTTTTAAAAAAATAAAAACCAATCATAATAAAGTAAAAAAAAACTTATAAAAGGTTTTATTAGAGTTGTAGAACTCTATAGTCAAAAATAATATTTAATTTTTATTTATTTAAGAAAATTAGCTTTGTAATAAGTTGATTTTATCAGGTTTTGAGAAGTTATTGCTATACTAACTTTTTAAAAACATAAGAATTAGATCTTATTTTTGCTCTCAAACTCTCTAAAACTTGTAAAGCCCTTTACCTTAACAATTTACTATTACCTCTATTAATTCACTATGTAAATGTTTACAACTCTGCTTTAAAGCAGCACTCTATTATATTTATGTATGTACTGTAGAAAACTGTACTATATTACCAGATAATACTGAACACAATGTCAAAAATCTGTCAGCTAAATTTTTTGAAGAATTCTTCAAATACTATCCTGCACCTACAAACTCTGATTCAAACTCAAGTGCCAAAACTAAATGGTTACATCCAATACTAAATATTGCAATTTTCAGATAT